GCACCAAAGAAGAACAAAGAGTCAATGCTCCTGAAATTCCTGTTCAGAAGTATCCCAGAACAGAGCCAGCACTTCCCACCTTGGCCAACCTCACCTACGTTCACCTGTAATCAAATGCTGATAGCCAAACTTGGCCTGACAAAGCTCTGCAAACTTCAAGCCCATCCTGGCTCCACACAAATAGCTAACTTTTCTGTGTATCACCAGAGAGTGGCATTTCCAAAGATACCCAAGACCTGCCTTTGAAATCACTGCCCATAAAGATGCTTCTAAATGTGCAGGTGGGGGGGGAAGCCGCAGCTCCCATAGATGCTGGTTTATATAGGATATATAAAACAAAACAACAGCCAACCAAACAAAATAAAACAACCCACAGAGAGACAGGACTCCTCATATGCCTCCCCAACGAAAATCTGCTTTAACTGCTGAACAACAACTAGACAAGCCCAATCTCCCACCTCAAAGCAAGAAACAAGCTGTTGCATCGTCTCAGAAAATAATTCCTTCTCACCCTCAAAGTTTACATCTGCTCCTTAAGACATTTTCCAGCAAAGCTGCAGGGTACCTGAGCACTCCGTCCACGATAAAGCTGTACTCAAAAGAACACGAAGCAGTTCCTGGCCCTTTTCCAAGCTGTAGAATACTCCTGACAAGGTGTATTTTAAAGCAGTAATCCTATGACTGACCATCTTGCTTGAATTCAGAAAGGAGTTAAAAAGACAGAGAGCAACAGACATTCTCACTACCTTCAGGAGAACAAAATGCAGCACTACCATCCTCCTCTACAATTATCTCCCAAGCAAGAAACTACCACATCAACAAGGCAGCCGTTGCAAACTGGTCTAGTAACACGGTTCAATAATACACTCATTTCAAAACAACCTTTATTGTGCTGAAAGAAGAAGACATGATTTCACATGTTTTAAAGAGTGTACACCTAAAACACAGATTTCCAAACTTAGGCATCATTCATCAAAAAGTTAAAAGGGGCTTTTTCCGCACATGCACAGATTTCAGACTAACAGGATTTACTTGTTTTCTGTCTGTTCCTGGGGAACCTTTGCAGTTTTTTTCCCAAGACTGTCCCTACAGGCTGCTATCCAACATACATCAGATGCTCTTGGAGCAACAGATAACTCTGGAAGGACATTTACAAAGGGCACAAATCAAGTAAAATTTAGGCATATTGGGGGAGGGTAGAATTACTCCTGTATGCAGATAACCTGAACACTTGACACAGTCCCCTGGAAAGCTTTATTCATGCATCCAAGTATTTTTTTTCAGATGTCTTACTAGCAAAACATGTATTTTAAGTCAATAAAAAAATTATTGCAACTTAAAAAGTGAATCCCTTTCAAAAACACTCAGGTTAATTTTAGCATCCTTCTGTTTAGCTGCTTAGCAACACTTATCCTATGACCTTCTAAGCACCACCTACTTTTACAAGGGATAATGAATATAACCAAAGGGATTTATCTATATGTTTTTAATCTATACAGTGTTAAGTACATCGACAGTTTTTATTTAAATGAGAAATCCAACTGAGAGCAACTCAAATTATTTCTCCTCAAGAAAGTTTCACAAACTAAAGTCAAGCTACTGCTATGACTGTAGTATGACTTCAGCACATGCAAAATTATAAAATCCTTAAGGAGTGAGGAAAGCACTACAGAAGTCAGTGTTTCTATACCTTGGGAAACACTGCACTTGCCTTTGGTACCAAAGGAGATTACAGATATTACTAACGGATAACAAAGAGATTAAGTTTTTCCAGTTTTGAAACTTCCAAGTATCTCCTCATCCTCAGAATCAAAAAGAAAAGCCATTTGGTCAGAGGGTCACTGAGTATTGTGAAGAGTTAAGAATGGACACACAACCTGGATGAGCTGAGTCAGAATAAGATGCTTCATTACACTGAAATCTGCAACTAAAGCTTCAAACACCCAGGTCCAGGTGAAAAAACGAACAAACAAAAAACCCCAGAAAAACAGTCAGCAAACACCCTGCTCTATTCTATCTTAATACCAAGCCACATAGATATATATATATATATATATATATTTAGAGTCATTAGTTATCAAAATGTGTAAAAGTGGCTACATAAATACTCACTTCTGACGGGCAAACAACAGTTTGACTACTAGAAGCTGTCTGTGAAATGAGAGCAGAATAAAAATTTACTCAATTGTACTTTAAGAGTGTTTTCCCAACTACATGATACGAATTCAGTTCCAAATACGGATGCCAGGAGGAGGAAGGTGAGGGAGCAAAAGAGGCCACACTCGGTCGAGAACAGCTACCCCGCAGCAAGAGAAGCTGGATGTGTCCCTGCCGGCAGGTGAGGGAGAGCCCTGGTACTCTGATTGATTGGATGATGGATTCATGCTGTTTCTGGGTTTCTAACAAACAAAAGGGCCTATTCTTTCCTGGATGTACCCAACTCCCGTTAAGGCTAATCGGCATTATGCAGGCACACCAAGAAAAGACTATGTACCCTTAAGTCTTCAAAGAGAAAATTAAAACCTAAAACAAATATGGCTGGCCTGACCCTGAGTCACTGCATCCCTTTCACGCACGCTGACCCTGTGGAAAACAGGAACTGCGGTAACAAAACTCGGTGCTTGTGTCAAAACGACAGACCTCAACGAAAAAACTTCAGCCATCATAACAGCTGTCTACTGTGCACTGTAGGGGTGGCAACACAGCATTATTTAGCAACTACTCCTGTTGTTAATAGGCAAGTTTTTTTCCAAGGCACGGGGCTGGGGCTGGATCTTGGAACGGTAAGAAACATCAGCTGCATTTGCCGTATCTCCTAGACCACCGCCCCCCAAATCACACTGAACTAGAAGTTTACTTTCTCAAATACGTAAATACACTTGATCTTATCTCCAAGAGAAGACAGGCAAAAGAATGAGTCGGAATTAAAACTGGATGGTTGGTCTCCCCCCACTAACACTACCCTGCCTCCCCTCCAGAAATCAGCTCAGTGGCTCCCGGGCAGGATGCTGGCTCCTGGACAGGCAGGACCAGAGCATCAGCCGCGGGCCGGACACCCCGGCGCGGCCGTGGGAGGGCGGCGGGGCACGGAGGCGCCCGGGCCTCCGCGGGGTGCGCAGCCGAGCAGAGCGGGCCGGGCAGGGAAATATGCTGAGCCAGGAGAAGCGCTCTCCTCCTCCTGCGCAACCCCGAGAGGATGCCGAGCAGGCGAAGATATCGCAGCCGAGAGGTGAAACGGGGAAAATTATTTAGGAAAAAAAAAAAAAAAAGAGAGAGATAAAAAAAAAAAAAATCAAGCGTGCGTGTGGAGGGGAGGCGGGGGAGAAGTGCAGGGAGAAGAAGCCAGAGGAAACTTATCTGCGACATGACAAAGTTCAGTCCACCACCCTCCCTCCTCTACTGAAAAAAAAGTTGCAGCATCTCGGCTCGCCGCACTCCCCCCCGGCCCGGCCCGGCCCGGCCCGGCCCGCGACCCCCGCGGCCCCTCACCCTCAGCGAATAGGGCGGGGGGGATGCCGAGCCCGTGTGTTACAAACTGGGCAGGAGGAGCTGCCTCGCATCCTCACCCCGCGGAGCTGCGGGGGGGGTGTCCCGGCCCGTAGCAACGGCGATGGGGAGGGAGCGCAGTCGCCCGAGAGACGGGTCTCGGCCGGCTCCCATCCGCACCGGGCACCGCGGCGGGGGGGCGGCCGCCGCGCCGCCCCCAACTTTGTTTTCACCCCAAACACCGCCACTACGGGGGGGAACACTGCCTCGCTGTCCCCCCGCCCCGCGCCAAGATGGGTGTGAGTGGGGGCGAGGGCCCGGACACCCCTCCTCAGCCTCGGATGCTGCCCGGCTCCTTCCTGTAGTGGTGACGCCGCCCAGGCGTCCCTGCCCGCCGATGGCCCCTACGCGCAGGGATGTGTTCCTGGCACCGCACAAAGGCAGCGGGACGGGGGGGGACCCGCGGTGGGGCAGCGCCCCCCACCCTCCCCGGGCACGGCTCCCCCCCGCCCCCGCCGCGCAGGCCGGCAGGGGAAAGGACACGCACGTCCCTACCGGGACGGGGGGGGGGACGGGGGAGCGGGTGGAGAAAGTAGAGGAAAGGGGAAAAAATAAAATAAAGTGAGGAAGACGGGGAGAGAGGAGAAGGGAGAGGTATCAGGGTGCCGAGGAAGGGCAGGCACGGCCGTCCAGCCCCGCCGGGGGGGCGGAAAGTCAGCGGAGAGATGCGCAGCGCAAGCCGGCTCTACCTGCGAGGAAGGGGCGCCTTCATCCCAACTTCCCAGCTCCGGCGCGGCCCTCCCAGCCGGGAACAGCGGGCAGGGGCCGCCGCGGGACCCGCCGCCACCGCCGGCAGGAAAATAAGCCCGAAGGAAAAGTTAAAAGGCAATCTCGGGAGACGGGGGCGAGCCGGGCTAGAAGATGTTGCTTCCTCGCAGCCCCATCCAAATTGTGGCGGTGGCTGGTTAAAAATAAACTTTGCAGCAGGAGGGGGGGGATGATCTGGCCGGATTCCTGAGCTCAGACGGTTTAATATGGATGAGCATCAGGTCCTGAAGGCAAAACGCCGCGGCTGGTGCCGCTGGTTGGTAGAAAGTCTGCAACAGGGAAGGGGGAAAAAAAAAAAAAAAAAAAAAACAGGAGCCGCGGAGGGAGGAGAGGAGAGGGAGGAGCGGGGGAAGGGAAGAGGGAGGCTGCACGAACTCATCATCATCTCCACCGCTGCCAGCCAAACTTTTTTCCTCCTCTTTTTTTTTTTTTTAAAGGAAACTTTTCCCCCCCAGTAACAAGCATTTCATTTTTAAAAATAAGTCGCACAACCAGCCGACAGGCTGCAACGTCCTCACCCCCACGCCTGCCCCCTCCAAGAAGTTTATTTTTCCTCCTCTTTCTCCCCCCCCTCACCTTAAGAAAAAGAAAAGAAGAGGAAAAAAAAAATAGATCCCTCCGGAGTTAAGGCACGCTCCTGCCCTTTGTGAGGGAGCGCGGCGGCCGGGCAGCCCCGCGGTACTTACGCCGGACTTTGCTGGGGCTGGGCTGCTTGCGCCGCGACATGCCGGGAGGATGGGCCGCCGGGGGGGCGCGGGGGCGCGCCGGGGGGAGCGCGCACGGGAGGGAGCCGCAAACTTGTTCCGGAAAAAGGAATCAAAATGGCGTTTCTGTGGATGTGCAAAGTTCATCAACTCCGCGCTAACTTCCCGTCCTCCGCGCCTCCCTGGAGGGGAGAGATGGGCACGGTTAGGGACCCCGCCGCGCCGCGCTCCGCGGGCGCCCCCGCCCCCTGCCCGCCCCCGCGCTGCCCCGCGCACCCTGATAAGGAGACACATCACGTGTCGCTCCGGCTCCTCTCCCGGGGACGCGCTACCGCGGCAGCAGCAGCCTGTTGCAAATAGCATCTCTAACTCGCCCTCGTCGCGGGGAGGGAGGGGCGCCTCCAAGGAGAGGAGTGAGCGCAACTTTCCTCCCCCCCGCTTCTTCCTCCCTCTCTCCCTCCCTCCTGCGCCCGGCAGCGCAGCAGCGGGATGCCCCGGGCAGGCGCGGGGGGAGCGGGGGGGCGGCCAGGTGCCACGCGGCGCCCCGCGCCCTCCCGCTGCTCTGGCGGCCGCGCCCGCGGGGCTCTCCCGGGGCTCTCCCAGGCGGGCCTGCCCTGCCCGGCCCGGCCCGGCCCGGCCCGGCCCGGCCGGCGGCCACGGTCCGGGCCGGGCGTGCGTGTCCCCCGAGCAGGCGGCTCTCCCCGGCTCGGGGCTGGAGCGCATCCGGAGCCGCCGGTGGTGGTGTTGCGCTGCCGGCTTTAAGGAATTCATCGGGGCTCTCCGCTGCCCGTGGAAATGTCTGTGCGTCCTCCTCCTCCTCTTCCCAGCCCAGTGCCTCACCAGGTACAGCGTCCGCAGCCCGCTGCTCTGCTGGCAGAAGTCGGCTTCTGGTTGTGTTTGTTTGTTTCCTCAGAAACTTTCGTCCTTGCGCGATTTGGGTCTCAGCTGGGGTCAGTCATCCATCCAGCTGACGAAACCTAAAGGACGTAAAATTTAACAGGACCCTGAACATCAGCATAGGAACAGGAGGTCCAAATGCTGTTCCTAATCAAAGGCAAGATGCGGCTGCTTGCAAGCACGGGTAGTTACACGCTGCACAGGCGCTGTGCACGGCACTGCATGCACGGTCCTTCCTCCACTTTCCCTGCAGTGGAAGTTCAGAGATGTAGAAGAAGACTCAACAAGTGATGGAGAGGTGTGTTGAGAGTCGTGGGGCTTTCACTTTAAAGACAGTACCGGTTTAGAGTTGTGTGACAAATAATAACAGTACATAAAACCAAAATATTTGGCAACACTCCATCTTGAAAGCTTGATAGGGAAAAAAAAAAAGTAAACCAACACTGCTTCCGAGGAGTGTCCTAATGAGTATAGCAGGAACCAGTTACCCGTTTACACTTTATGGAAATGGTTATTTACACTATGTCTAAAGCTAGGCCTTTTAAAGCTGCTATTGGTGAGATGGAACCTAAAGTCTCTGGCTGTTTTTTTTAAAGAAATCAAGTTATGACCTCTGGGCAAAAGGCTTGTACCAGCTTATATGGTATCCTATCTCCTCATTGAAAAGGGATTCACATGGAAAAGAAGGCTAAGTTCCAGGTATGTGGCAGTAAGCCCTCAACCTACTCTTTTCAAAAACGATCTGTTGCCTGTAAGATGTCATGCTTAACTTCATTTGCACCATTCTTTTCAAGTACTGGATAAAGGCATACAAGTCCAGAATACACAGGTCCTGTCTCAAAGACGTGAGCTGTGCTTCATGTCAGGAATAGCTCTCTTCCCTTATGGACTCCCAAGTAAAACACCTGCAGGTGTGGTGAGCTGGAACTTGGAAAAGCCAAAACTGCAAAACCGAAAGGCGCACACGTGTATGTATTCAGAACCCGAAACTGCAGCTTTAACCTGCTTGTGTTTGTTGTGGTGGTTTCTGCAGGCTGAATTTTTGTCACCTGAGTTTTGTGCAGTGTTACACATGAGCTTTGTAGATAAATTTTAATACCATTAAGCTCTGTTAAAGCGGAGTTGCTGACTGGCAGAAGAGCAATATCATGCTTTACCCCACAATATGAGCCACAAACATTAGAAAGCACATTCTCATTGTTCTAAGGTTCTTATTTTACCAAAAACAGTCAAGGGAAGCCATTACAAAGAAATTGATCACAAAGTGTCTTTAACCTTTTCATCTCTGTCCCCGTTGTACCTGCCAACCTGCAGTGGCAGAGCTGCTAGTAAATTCAACAGCTTTGTAGCCAGCTTACATCTTTACTTCAGTATCTCTTGTGGTCAGGTATCCAATTAAACAAAAACCTGAGCAGTTTGACCGTCTCAGGCTCAGCCCTTAAAACATATTATTCACATTGCAAGGCTGCTGTGATTTAAGCCTGCACAGCACATACATATGGACTCATGGAGACTGGGCCTGGTTTACACAGCCATTTACATAAGTGGCTGCAAGTGAAACTGGTGAAAATTCCTGTATGGGTAATCATATTTGGAGGTTAGCAATGCATGTGTCATTGACCTCTGGCTAATATCTCTAGAGTAATCTTGGGGGCATTTTGGACCACTTCTGTATGAAGATTCTCATCTACCCTTGATGTATTTTCTAACTTCAGAGGTGCTGAAGAGCCTTCCATGTGGGAAGTTTAGCAAGCATAGATGGAATAGAAGAACAAGTGTTTTTCAATTCAGCATCTGCTCTAGAAACGTGAAAATGTAAAGCTCGCATTGGAAAAAAATTAGGATTTTAGTACTTGGAGAAAATATGTAGATAATTTTTAAATTGCATTTGTGTTTTTAACATCCCTGTTCTCTCAGAAAGATGTAATGAAGGGTGAACCAGTACATACTGTGTTACATTAATGCTAGAAATTAAAAAAAAACCAAACAAACACATAGACCCCCTAACAATGCAAAAGGGTAATGTAATAACAAAAAAACCTGGTTAACTACCAGGGTTTATGAAATAGTAAAAAGTGATATGTCTTTTAATAGTTTAGGAATTAATTATAATTCTGAGCTATTGCAAGGCAAGAGAAATTAAAACAACTCAGTTTTCCAACTTTCTGTCATTTGAACTTTTATAATGCATCAGGGAGGTAAAAAAACTGTTGTGGTCTAATATTGAATGTGAAATTTTGGGGCAAATGGGGTTTTTTATTATTTATTGGAGTGAAAGAGAAGGTAGAGATACTTTTTGTATAATAAACCCCACTGTTATGAATGACTCTCCCAGAATGTTACTACATGGCTTACATGATACAGCTATTTTCATCACTGCAATTTCTACCATCTACATTACTGTGGTTTAGCCCATCTCCTGTGACTGCTCTATAACAGTTTAAGTAGTAAGTCTTTTACCTCCTAGGACTAGTCAGTTTCTATACAATATCCAGTTTCTGGGTATTGTGATATCAATACTTAATAGTGATGATAAACACACTAAGGGGCAAGAGTTTCTCTAGTTTTTATATAACCCTCGCATAGCTCTCTAATCCTACACTGTGATGTTAAATACAATGAGCAATAGTAGAAATAAAAACAATAGTTTTGTGAAGGTGTTTAGTGTGTTATCAAATTCATTAACACCACTGGGTGACATAAAAGCCACCTGCTGTGGTTCCAAGAAAAGGACAACTCAGCCCCCACCCACAATTCAAATATCAGAGATGCTGATTAAAGGTATTCAAGGAGAGAAGAAAAACAGGATGTGTAGCTTATATGAAGGCTGCAATCTGAGGATGTCTTAAAACATGGAGACTAAAGCTAACATTGGCAGTAAAAGAGGAGTTAAAGGTTAGCTAGAAAATCTTTCCCCCTTCCCCCATCTTATTTGACATTATCAATGTTCTCTGCCTTAGATCATGATATTTAGAAGTTACTTTAATTTCTTGTAAACTTACACAACCCTTTCAGCCAAAACAGTTCTGAGTGAGGCAGTTCTCTGACTAACCAGGAGTATTTCATATGCTGTAAGAGGCAGGGCTGGACCCTGACTTTCTAACACCTCATGACTGCTGGTTGAGGGCAGCTGCCAGGCCCCAGCTCCCTCACCCTGCAGTGTGGCTGTCCAGCCACAGAGGATGTCAGAGGCATCGGAAGCCCCATGCCCTGTCTGAGCTTATGCCTGCCTGTATAGCATACAGAGTCCTCTCACTGCCATCCTTTTCCTGATGTCCTCACTTGTGTCAAGAGGCAGAACTCAGATGACATACTAATGCAGGGCAAAGCCTGCTTGGAGGATCAGAGAATACAGCCCTGAGGGCTTTGAGAAATAAGTCTTTATAAAACCTAAGACCCAAAGAAATGCTTGAATTTCCTTTATGTTTCAACTGGTTAATTCTTTAAATGAACAAACAATGCTACTGCTGAGTCTTCTCATGGGTTGGGGTTTTGCTTTGCTTTAGTGGGTTTTTTTCCTTCAACTGAGACACAGGTTTCTTGGATCAAAAATCCCTTATATACTAATGCAGAACTGACAAGTGCGACCACCATAGAGGCAGGGAATCATACAGAATAAAAGGGAAAAAGTTTAACTAAATATATTTCCTATAAATTGCTTGGAAAATTAAACTTGGTGAATTTGTGTATCGGAAAACCACACAGAAAAGCACATCACGTAAGACCAGCTGCAAACCCTCTCAGAGCATTTGTCTGATGACACGGCATCATACAGCGTTCCCGTTTTCCCCACGTAGGGAAATGTGATGCACCACCGTGCTCAAGTACCTTGGCCGCCGGAAATCAGGCTGCTGGGGAGCGAGGGAGTGGTGGAACTTGCTCCTGCAGCATCCCCACCCACTATATCCAAGGGCAGCTTTGGATGATCAGAAAGTCAAGGCCAAAGTTTCAGTCCAAATTTATCTTAACATTAGCCTTCACAGTGTGAAAGAAAAGCTGAGGTATCCCAGCGTGCTTAAGCAATTCCCTTCACATCACAACAGCCTGGTAGTGGCAAGGCTGGAATTAAAACCAGTATTTCTCCCCAAATCCCAGTGTAGTTCTTCAGGCACAAAGTCAGCCACTCTGCTGTGTGATTCTTCTCAGTAGACATTTAGTGATAACAAACAGCAAAAATAAAAGATCAAGTATAAGTATTTGCTCCCTGTTTGCTCTGAGACATTTCAGCAGTGGAAAACTGACCTTGAGCTGACTCACAAGACTACCTTTTGACAAAGGACTCATCTGGAAATACAGACACAGTATTTCTGAAACCCACACCACTTTTTCCCCCCCACCCAGATCACAGCCTGTAGGGCATGTTGCAGAACTGCTTAAAGTCTCTGGCTGCAATAATTCCTAGTCCTATCTTCTTCTCTCCTTTCACTGTGGGAGTCTCCAGCTGATGGATGCAATGCAGAGCAG